GCCGTGCTTCGGCGTAAAGACGTCATATGTTTCACTATCGTCGCTCGCGCGCCTATTGAACATGCGGCCGATGACGCGAGGTGCGATTGGCGGGGCTCCCTGACCAACCTCGCCCGCGCGCTCCTCGTGAAGTTCAATGGGATGGACTACACAGTACTCGTCGACGCTAACGCCCGTATTGGTAGCATCCCAGATGTCGGCATCCAGCGCCTTCGCACCTACCCCCAGACCTACGCCCAGGCCGCAGTGGATTCGCTCTTCGACGACGCGTCTATGACTTGGCGGTCTACCCGAGGCACCTGGTCGCGCATCGACTACATCCCGGCGCCCCTCCACGCTCTTCCGGCTGTTTCGTGGTGCCAGACGTTGGATTCCATAGCCCGCGCGTTCTCCCTTGAGATCGATCGCGTCGCAATTGGCGCCAGGGTTACATTGCAGTCTCGTTCGCCCTCCACCACGACGGCTTCTTCTACGGTGCCCTTCGCGCTGAACAAGTCGATGCTGCAGCGCGGCGCTCGACGAGCATGGTTCCGCGATGAGCTGTGGACGGCGGTGGCTCGCTCCTGCAACTTCGCGCTCCTTGACGTCGACTCCCACCTCGATGCCGTGAACGACGCGGAACGCGCCGCAGCTTCCAGGGCCTTCGGCGGCCCCCGTGACCAGCCGAGGAAGCAGTGGATATCTTGGGAGGCTTGGGCCTACATCAGGCAGGTCGCACCGTTGCGCCTCGCCCGGTCGCCCCGACTTCACGCCATCTTTCGCCGCCGCTTGGCCATGGGCTTGCACGCGTGGCGCTGCGCAATCTCCACCACCAAGCTGTGGTTCTGGCAAGGCGCTGTCATCGACGAGTCCACTGCGTTTTGGGGCGCTCTGAAAGCGGACGCTCGCATGAGCACCGCCATCCTCAACGTCCAACGTCGTGCCCGGCCGCTTCTCCAACGTGACCGGCAGCACTTCCTAGACAACTTGGTCCTCACGGCTGACCGCGCCATGGCCAACGCGGATTCCCGCGCGGCCTATGCGGTCTGGCTCGTGCACTCGCGCCAGCCCAGTGGCGCAGAAGCTGGGCGGCAATCTGGCTACCGACCCCGAGGCCGTGAACGCCAGGTGGACCGAGCACTACGCCGCCGTGTACAACGGCCAGGCCACCGACACGGTGTCACTTAAGCAGGCGCCCGTATCTTCCGACTCCTCACCGCCGTGGAGTTGGACGTCGGGCCCGCGGCCACACATTCCTCGTTTGCCCGGCTCGGGCGTAACAAGGGCGCTGGGCGTGACCAGACATCTGCCGAGCTGCTCGTTGCAGGCGACGCCCCACTCGCCATCTTGTACTCCGCCATCAACGAGAGGGTTCGAGATGAAAAGGGGCTTGGCCAGTGAGCTCGCGCGGCGGTTGGCTCCAGAGCGTCTTCAAGAAGAAGGGCTCACCCACGATGTGCGACGACCACCGCGGCATCTTACTCGCCGATCATTGCGCGAAGGGCCTGACATCTATGATCAAGGAGGCGATTGACCCTGAGTTCTCAGCTCACTTTCCTCAGTCGCAGTACGGAGCAGTGGCCAAACGTGGCACCGATTACGCCTCGCTGGTGGTGCGGCTTATGACTTCTTATGCCACCCGTGCGCGGAAATCGATATTCGTACTCTTCTTGGGCCTTGCGAAGGCGCTTGGCAAAGCAATCCGCCAGTTGGTATACGGATTTGGGCCCAACCCACCGGCGGATACTACTGCTGCACTTCGCGCCCTCGGCGTGTCCGAGCGCGTTGCCGCGTGGATGTCGTCGTACCTTCGGGAGCATGGGCCTGTCTTGTTGGGATGGGGCGCCAACGCCGAGGCCGTCGAGATGGCCCAGTCCGTCCACGAAGGAGCATGGTTTCCCGTGGGCTCTGACGGCCCTCCGGTCACCAGCCTGACAGGAGGGCGACAGGGGTGCAACTTACGGTCGATCACGTTCAACTCTCACTACGCCGTTGCTTTGTCCCTGCTGCACCACATTTGCGTCGAGAAGGGCCTCGACCTCGTCCTGGGTATGCCCGCGGCCGCCTTCTGGGACGCACCCGACGCGGCGTCCTCGAAAGAAATCTCGGCGTTCGACTCCACGTTTGTCGACGACGAAGCCGTCGTGCTCATAGCGGACACGCCGGCTGAGCTCGACGAGTCAATCGATGTCCTGTTGGACGTCCTGGTGGAGCTGTTCGACAGTTTGCACTTGGAGCTCAATTGGAATCCTGGCAAGGGCGAGTGCCTCCTCAAGTATAGGGATCGCCATGCTGCCGCTCGTCTTCACCGTCGTCGTCGCCACGACGGGCGGCTGGCCATTCCAGTTCCTCGCAGGTCCAACGTATGGCTCCTGGTTGCGCAAGAATACAAGCATTTGGGCTCGTACGTAAGCCCCAATGGCAACAGTGACACTTTCGCCAACACCAGGCACCGCGTGTCGTCGCTGGCCTATCAGACCTTCGTTTCCGACCTCCTCAGTGTCACCTACAAGTTTGCTTTCTTGCGCTCCCTCGTGCTGAGCCGGCTTTTGTTTGCAGTCCACACGCTCCTCCCGACAGGCCGGGACCTGAAGGCAATGAATGGTTGCTACATGAGGGGCCTTCGTCGCATTGCAGGCGCACGTCGTTTCAGCAGCGACTGCAACATCACGGATCGGCAGGTGCGGGTACAGCTGCAGCAACCTAGCCTGGATTGCATCATTTTGAGGCTGCGGCTGGCGTTTGCCGCCCGCGTGTGTCGCGACCGGCTGGAGGTCCTGTTAGCTCTGCTCCATCTCCGCGACGGCTCCAACAGCGATTGCCTCCCATGGGTGCGGCAGCTGATTGGAGACATCGATGTAATCAAAGAAACCCTTCACAAGGCCGATTGGCCGGGTCTCCTTGAATGTCCCAATTTTTGGCACGACCGCATGCGCCATGCCCACGAGTGGCATTCCATGCTTGACGCCGTGTTCTTCCTTGACTCCATCTGCGACAGCCAGGTGGCAGCGGCTCCTGACGGGCCAGTCCGCCCGTTTGCTTGCCCAGACTGCAAGCGCGCTTTTGCTACAGCACGTGCTCTCGAGACGCACGCGCGGATCAAGCATTCAAAGTGAAACATCATTCGCGAATTCGTGCTGTCAGCTGTTTGCCCTTGCTTTCATACAGATTTTCAGCAGAGGCTCCGCTGTCTTGCGCACCTGTCCGACCGGCGACGGCGCCGGTGCAGGCTCTGGGTGCTCCAGCATTCACCTCGCCTGCCGCCAGACGAAATAGCGCGTCTCGACCTGATTGACAGAGCTCTCAGGCGCGACGCCCAGCGCCAGGGGCGATCCCACCACATAGCCAAAGGTGCTGCCCGTGCCAGCTCTGGCCGTGTCGTGGGGCGCGCCTCTACCTGACCGTCTTTTTCTTTGTATCCACTGGCGACTGCACGTCCTCGAGGAATTCTGTATATATATGCACAATACACATATATGTATACATATACATGTATATATATGTATACAAATATATAAGAAGAGGGGAAAGAGAGAGAGAGAGAGAGATAATGATATATATGTATAAATTTGTACATATATAGATATACATATATATATATATGTATGCACACTATACATCAATAACATCGCTCCCCGCGCGGCGAATCTTAGCCAGAGGGGCAATTAAATATATAACTATCGCGAGACATTGATGACTCTCAGGGTCCCGGGTGGGGGAGGCCCGTGGGGATCATGGTTTTCCAAACTTCCTGGCCCACACCCTCGTGCTGGGAATCTCACCGATACGGGAACGAAGTTGTACCATGTGGACATCTGGCAGCAGAGCTTGCAAGTTGCCTGCACCAGCATGCTCTTGCTTCAAGGAGGTAAGGGACGAGGAGGGAGATGAGTGCGGGTAGCCTAAGGCGAACGTGTCTCCAGGGGCCTAGCCGCCGCGCGCTAAGCGGTAAATTTGGCTAGCGCACGACGAGAGCGCGGGCCGCAGCCAGCAACGCGTTTGGCTGGCTGGCCGTGGCCGTTCTGTATGTGTTATGAAGGTGGAACGCGAGGACGACGCGTCGAATGGCGGCCTGGAGCGACAGATCGCTCGGAACAGGCGGGTAGGCTACTGAGGGGCCCAGCCCCCAGCTCGTCAGCGTGCTGATGATGGGTGGGGGTTCGGGGGACCAGACGAAGCTCAAGAGGCGAGAACAGGAGAGGTAGTGGGGAAATGAATCTGGCTGCTCGCAGCAGCCGAACACGCAGCTGCGTGGCGCGAGCACGTGCATGCGGGCGGTGGTCGTCCAACCGCCAGCCAGGGTCTTGAGTGTCGCCCAGCGCGACGAGGAGGAGGAGGAGGAGGAGGAGGAGGATTCACCGCCACCATCGCCGCGGACGAGCCCGACGTCAGACTTTCACCAACCAGCCAGAAGAGCGCCGTGAACGGAAGGGCGCCTCCACACGGTGGCCATCGCCCAGTAGGAATAGAAAGAGGAGGAAGAGGAGGAGGAAGATTTGGAGTCCCAAAACGGTGCGGTGACAGACCGTGCGGTGACCTCGAAATCCCCCAAGACCGCGCCGCACGGTCCGTCAACGCACGGTTTCGGGACCTCGGAGGCCCCTGTCGCCCGAGACATCCTCGGAGAGGGACTCGAGTCTCAAAACCGTGCGGTGACCCCGAATCCCCACCGACTCACCACACGGTGTGGTCACCACACTGTTTGGGGGCCCCCGAGAAGAGGAGGACGACGACGATGACGACCAGTCCGACCGGTGACTCGCGGCGACGCCACGAAGGATGCGCTCGACGCCGAGGGCCCGCCGCCGGGACCGCGCCTCTGCCGCGCACGCGCCGCCGCCGCCGCCCTCGCCGTCGCCGTCGCAGCCGCCGCCTTCCTCGCCGCCTTCCTCGCCGCCCTCGTCGTCGCCCTCGCCGTCGCCGTCGTCGTCGCCCGTCTGCGCCGTCCGCGCCGCGGCCGCTGGAGGTGGCGACCAGGCGGAGGAGCAGCAGCGGCCCTTGGAGGGAAGGGCGTGACGCTCCTTCGGGGCGCCGTACGACCCCGGCCCTGGGTCCGGGTCTCTCCTGGGCCGGAGGGGGGCGGGTGGAAAGTCGCCTGCTTCCCAGGTCAAGGAAAAAGAGGAGGAAGAGGAAGAGGAGAGAGAGCAGCGACAGGATTGCCAGGCGTGGCCTGCCTTCCGTGGGCGAGCCCGTGGTGCACGGAGCCGTGACTTGGGGAAGCGGTGTGTTGCATCCGCGAGGGATGGACAATGACGAGGGGTAGGCTGCACATGCCCGCCTGAAGGTGGGAAACTCCTGGGTAACTCCAGAGCTCGGAGCGGCCGTCAACCCGTTAGGGGCAACTGATCCCCAGCTATACTCTTAGACTGGTCAAGCACTTTGACAAAATTGGCCCAGCAGCTCTCCAAATCGCTCCTGCCCAGTTTGGCATTCCGCCGACGTACTGCGATATGATCGAAAGCGAGTGTACCAATCGCACGTTCGCTATGATGGGGTCCCCAAATGCTACGCCTTTAGCGCCGCAGCGAGAATAGGACCCCCCGAAAACGAGAGCCCAGGCCACCGAACAGGCAAACCGCCGCAGACATTCCCAAAGTCTGGCCGCGAACGGGCAAATATCCTACTCCTGGCTTCTCTTCTTTGAGGCGCTCACATGCAACGCCTGCTACATCGCGATGGGCATGCAGCTCTCAAAAAGGGGACAGTCTGGGCCACTACGCAGGCAAACCGGCAAACCGCCTGCGACATCCCCACAATCTGGGACCGTACGCGCAAATGTCTTACCCCCTGGCGGCTCCTCCTTGGGGTGCTGTAGTGCCACGCCTGCTGCATCGCCATGAGCATGGGTCTGTGAACACAACAGGGTCGGCCACTATCCCAACAATGTGGGGCCGAAAGGGGAAATGTGTTACCCCCTGTCGGCTCCTCCTTGGGGCCCTCAAGTGCCACGCCTACCACATCGGGTGTGCCTTAGTCTGAGCGTGAGTGAGTCGGAGTGTGACAGAACATGTGCGAGCGTGATCCAAGTCTGAGTGATTCATGCTACGAGTGTGAGGCTGTCAGTGAGACTGGGTGTCAGCGAGTCTGCGTGCGCGCGGGACTGAGCGTCAGTGAGTCTGAGCATGAGTGAATGTGGGCATGGCTAAGCTAAGTATGAGTGGAAGTGAGTGGCGGATGTGCGAATGAGTTGGAATGTGAGTTTGTCTGAGTGCGAGTGAGCCTGAGTATGAGTGACTCTGAGTATGAGTGAGGCTGAGTGTGAGTCTGAGTGTGAGTGAGTCTGACTGCCAGCGAGCCTGAGTGTGAGTGAGTCTGAATGTGGGCGAGGAGGACGGCGGGAAGGAGGATGCAGGGTGACACATCACACGAATGACAATAATCCCAATAATCAAGATATGGCAGCAATAATGATGCCATGATGCGACTGGCTCAAGATGCGTTCCAAGTATATCCGCGGGACAACCAGGAAGCCTGGAAATCATGAAACATGTTGTTGCCATTGACTTCTTGCTCCTCTGAGTGTAGGCCTGGCGTGCCTCATGACTGCATGCACAGTCACATGCGCACCGAAGAAAGCAATGCCGCAGGTCCTGGGAGCAAGCCGAGTCGACGTGCCGAACCCAAAACTTGGGCCGCTCGGCCTGGCCCGCGGAGGACCAGCACCAATTGTAAGTGCTGTTCCACTTCCTCCCATCCCTCCTGCCGCTCCGCAGATAGATCATATGTCCCTCACTTCGCTGGGCGAGCGTTTCGATCCTCGCGAGCGCGTCCTGCTCTTTCATGGAGGCTGCTCTCGTTTGATACCACGCGAAGCAAAGACTGCTGCTGGACAACCACCAGGCCACGTGCGGCCTCGGCCATGGGAAATGTTGGAGCGGGACGGAGGAAGCATGGGAGGGCAGTAGCGGAGAGAATGAAGTGTAAGAGAGGAGAAGAGAACATGGCGGGGGCAGCATATGTTACACTTTTGGCTGCCCGTGCATGGCGGTGTTGACTGCTCGGCACAGTTGCCGGGGATGCCCAAGCCATACGGCGCACACAGTGAAGGTCGCGGCAGGCTCAGGAACGACTGCGCAGACATATGGGGCTGGGGCGTCGCAGTGGGGGGAGTGGCGAGGATCGCTGTAAGGACCCAGGCAGCCCACCCCCGCCCAGTTTGAAGCGAGCCTCGTCTTCGCAGTGGGTGCCCTCATCGGGAGGGAGAAATCATATCAATGACACGCTACCGTTGGTAGCCTGTCGGCGTGCTACCTCCTCGTTTGTGTCGGGGGGCCTGGCGATTCTTCATTACTAACACGCTGATGGGTTCCCCACGGCGGCATGCCATCAGTACTACTTCTGGCTACGCGACCTCAGGCCCCTTCCCCGAGAGAAATGTAGTGTCACACGTCAATCATTATGTCGTGAGCCAGAGCTGGCCCACGTTGCACACAGCGAATTCGGCAGACGTGCAAATGTGAAGTGCAAGCTCTTGCGGTGGTTTGCTAACACGTTTCGCGCGCGTTGGTCTTCACGATGAGTGGGTGGAATGCGTGGGCGAACCTTGCTCCGCAGCGCCGGCGCCCGGCGCCGGCCCAAGAGGGAGTCGGGGTGGCAGCACCCCGCCCACCCCTCGCCCGCCCACCTCCTTCTCCCGCAACCTGCTGATGCCCACGTTCCACATTTTGCATGCCGACCACTGGCCACGACGACAGACAAAGGGAGCCCGCGGAGAGCCGTATTGCGAGGCGGAGATTCCTCCTCCACATCAACTCCCTGGGGAACGAATGTCGTTGGACACCCTGTCTGCGGGGGGCGGGATATATGTGGGCCCCGGGGGGCCCGACCATATCCACATTTTAGGTCACCGAACCTCGCGCATCGCACCCCGCGGTGCGTGACGTGCGACTGCTTTCGCGCCCTCGCGCCCTCGCGCCGCCGCTTTGGATAAGCACAGCCACTTTGGCCCAGACCGCGACGGGCGAAACGAAATGTGTCTTCGCTCCCCCGCGATATCCACCGCCCCCAGTGGTCCAAGATCGCTTTCCCAGGCGGCGAGTGAAGCAGCCAGGCGCCAAACGCGCGTGGGCAAGACAATGTGGCGAGCGTGCCGGCAGACGACATGCGCGTCATCAGGTGGACATAAAACGCGCCAAACGCGCGACAAGACAACGACGACGCGCCAAATGCGCGCCGGGAGGACGAGGAGAGAAGGAAGAACATGACGATGATGGACAATGCAGGGCATGCGTTTCAACTAACACGCGCAAGCAAAACAGTACAATTCTCACTCGATGTGTTCCTCTTTTATGTTACCGGCACTCTTCGCAACACCGAACACGCAAGATCTCCAAGGTGTCGGGTCTGCCACTGCAATCACGAAGCTCCGCGGTCTCAGAACAGGGGCTCACAAGCTTATGCGATTCGTCTGCCCACTCCTGTCCGGGCCGCCCCCGCTTGCGCTGGCAGGCCCGCGTCGCCGGGAAGACGGTGTTTGGCATGAACACTGGCCTCCGTAAAAAAACGATCGTTTGGATATCTGGTAATTTTCCCCAGACAAAAATATCAGCTGTTACAAAGATTGGGGACTGCACGGAAACTGTTCGTTTTTTTCGATAACGCATACTTGTGAGAGAACCTGCGCGTGAACGCCGGAAAGATGTGTGGCATTTGTCTGATGCATGTGGCCTGGAAGCTGTCCAGCCGCGCCCCGCCGGCTCTGGTCAACCACGTCGAACTGAAGGAGCACATGCCCTTGCCTGTGACCATCGCGTCGAAGATCAGCAGCTTCCTTTCAACATTAACCAAGGCACAATACTTCACAATGCCTTGGGAACTCGCCTTACGCGGCCCCCAATACACGATCCAGCTCGCTGGATACTCTTCCAGGGTCGCTGATAACAGCTCCCAGGTAGACAACGATCGTTTGGCTCTATGGGCGCCCCAGCAGGCAAAAACAACTCCGTCGTTCTGCACATGCAACAGTTAAGCTCTGTCCCAATGCATAAGTCCACGCCGGCAATTTCTGCTGAAGTGGCGATCGCGCTCAGCAGCTCCAGCGCGTGATCATGGTGCTTCCAGAAGGTGGGGGCGTCGTCCGCATGCAATACAACCAATATAACGCCAAAGTGGGATGCTGTCTTGGCCGGGTCGCTCAACGTCGCGGCCGCGTCTCTTGTTATGATTGCCATCGCCAGTGCAAACAGGAGCGGGGGCACGGGGCACCCTTGCGCGATGCCAGACTTCTGCTGCCTCTCACTCGACTGCTGACCCCCATCGGTCACGCAGAAGCTCCGATTGGCATTGTTGTTTTCAATTATTGCGAGAATCCGAGCAGGTAGCCCAAACCTCCGCAACAATACTAGCACGGCCTCCACATTAATTGAATCGAATGCCTTTTCCAATCTAACGCATCGATAATGGCCCCTGGTATTTCCCCCCGGAATGAAGAAAGGTGGGGGTTCTGGACCGGTCGGGGCTGGCCGAGAACACCACTGCCTTGGGCCCGCTGGTGAAAAGCTGGCCGCCGCGTGCCTGAGCACCCTGAACTGCGCAATGTGCAAGTCGCCATCCACCCTAACACTCGCGTCGCGTGCGCCCTTGGCTTCCGGGGGGCCCTCTTTGGAGCTCCTCTGAAGGGATAGTGGGGCCATGTTGGGGCGCTCTGGAAGAAACTTCAGCGCCCGTCGGGGCCCTCGCGGGGCTTTCTCGGAGCACCGCGAACGGACATGGAAAGGCTTTTGGAGCCATCTGGGACACATTGCGCGCTGGCCCCCGCGGGGCCGTCGGGGCCCAGAGACCCGCCCTTCGGCGCGCGCCCGCATTCCCCCTCGACGGCAGAATTTCGCCTCGACGATCGAAACGCATTGTTGCGCATGGAATCTGAAATCACGACGGGTCGGTGGGCGCGGTCTCCATTGCGCGCGCGCGTTCGAGCGCGGGGGCCCGCCCCGCGGCGGCGCCGTCGCTGCAGGGCGAAACCGAGATCCCGCCGTTCCGTCGCGGGGCACCCGTCGGAAACGCGCCGCGCGGAACCCCCGGGCAGGCCCCGCCAAGGCCCCGCGGGGGCCGCGGGGCTCTGCCCCCGTCCGCCCGCAACAACAGTCGCCCACCCTCGGCGGCGCAGGACGCGCAATCGAAGACAAGCGCCCCCTCGTGGAGTCCCGCAGAACTCACGCAGTCGCCCGAGGAACACCGGCGGCCTTGCCATATGGTTTTTTTAGACGCACGCAACGCCGCTGCTGCTCCATGCCAGATTGCAGCGCGTGACATGCGCGCTCGAAGACCCACTTTGGTCCATGGGATTTGCGCCGAAGCCCGGCCTTATCTCCCTCCAGACTTCCCGGCGCCCCCTAGTTCAATGCGCTGGCGGACTGCGCGAGCAGCGTATGTCGCGCCCCGCCCTCGGCAGAAACCGAATTCAGCAGAGGCGGGCCAGGTCTCCCGCCCTGGCGCCTCGCTGCTAGGAGCCAGAAGAAACACGCGAAGGAATTTCACACAAAAGGTTTTGGCACCACCAATGTTGCAACTCATGTGCACGCATGCCACTGGGCCCCCAGCGATCCGAACCAGGGTTGATGCACGGCCGTGCTCTAGGATGCAGTTGACACGCATGGTGTGGCAAGGCTGTCGGTCGCGACAAGATCCCAACATCCGCTGCCAACAAACATTCCAAGGTGGTTTGGCACAGCCAAACCACCGTGCAACGTCAGTTTGTTCATCAGTTGACAGCAGCACGCGTCGCGGCAGCAGAACGCAGTAGCGCGCGCGGGCACGCGCGGCCGGCGACGTGGCTGGCCAGCTGCCAGTGCGATTTCGGCAGAAGAGCCGAAATCCGCGCAGGATCGTTTTGGGCGCGGTAGCCGGCGCAGCTGCATCGCACTGCCGGGCGCCGCGGCCTTGCGATTGTAGCGCCAGGCCCCGCGCGCTCCTCGAGGCGGGAAACCAAGCTCTACACAAAGGAATCGCGCGCGTTCTTGTGGGGGCGGCGAAAACGATCGCACGCGAGGAAAAATTCCTCCGCGCGCCCCCCGCGCTGGCAGTGCAACCAGACCGCGCGCGCAGGAATTGCACGAGACTTCGTGGCGCACAAAGGAATTGCAGCAACCCCCTTTGGGTTGCGCTCTTCGCGCGCGGGGGCAGCTCCGAGCTGGAAAGGAAGGGGGGGGGCGGGGCAAGGCAAAGCAAGGGCAGAGGAAAAAGAAAAGGAGGGCGAGAAAGAAGCGAAGGAAGCAACGGAAGGAAGCCTGGATGCGCGCAAGCGAAGCTAACACTGCGCGCCGAGACAGTTGTTCGTTCGTTCGATTGGCCGCGTGGCAGATGAATAGAAAATAATTGTTTGCTGCCTATCGAAGGGATTTCTTGGGAATGAGACTCGCGCTCTTTTCCCAACCCCCCCCCCACGCCCCGTTGCGAGCGCGCGACGATTTGTTCTGGCCCGCGGGCAGAGGACTGCCAGCTGCTGGTGGGCGGCCTTTCCACCCGTCGCGCGGTCCGAACACATGCGACCAGCTGAACGCACTTACCACGCAAACCGCCAGCTCCAAACGCCGACGCCGCCCCGATCCGCGCATCCGTGCCAGGCACCCCTCAACGACGCCCTTTTTCCGGCGTAAAACCCATCAAACCGTTTGTGTTTATGTGTTCATTCCTGTTCTGAGTT